GGGCCACAGACATACAGCCAATTGTCACACTAGAAGCCTTTCCAGTTTGGTCCAATTTATTAGTGCTTGTGCTCTGCAGTTTTAGGGTTCGAGAGCACAGGGTTACCTCCATGACATGATGAAGTAGGACTTTAGTAGAGAAATTTAAATTGAGCGGTTTTTTATTTCACCATCTCAGGATCAGCTTTTCAGTACCTTTGAAAATCTTAACTAGCCAATAAACTAATTTGTACTAATGGGAGAGGGTCAGCAGGCCTTTCTCTACTACCAGGCAATGAAAGTGTGCTTAAAAAGTAACCTTTTGAAGATAACTTTTTCTTCCCCTAGCAACTAGAATAGTGGGGATTTTAACTTAATTACAAGTAGTACCATGCTGTGGAAATATTTTGAAACAGTTGGGTCTTCTGATGCCCTTCAAATTACATTATTTACATAAAGTAAGCCCTACTTATCTCTCTCTGTCTCTGTCTCTCTCTCTGTCTCTGGGGATGTGTGTGTGTGTGTGTGTGTGTGTGTGTGTGTTCAGGGTTTTTGGTAGTCAGATAACCAACTGACCTTCAACCTTCCTTTTTATAGAACAGTAGAGCTGGAAGAATCCTTAGAAGGGGTTTTGTGAGCCTCATGAAAATAATGGGTGGACCTTTGCAAACTTTAAAATGCTGTATAAAGGCCAGTTGATATTATTAGCCTACAGTTACCAGGCCTCTAGTCTGGTGATGACTTCATTCCCTGAGCCTTCTACTGCACTCCAGCTCAGCTCAAGCTATGTTTATAAAGCAATACAGGGTGTTCTGGTAAATATTTAACAATTTGCTCTCATATATGCACACACTTCTAAGTTTAATCTGCAGTATCAACACTTTATTAAGTTTAGACCACCAACAAAATAATAAATCAAGCCCTGATTTGAATCAATTGCAGATTTCTGAGGTGCGAACACTCACTTGAAAATTTAACAGATTCCCAAGCTGGTTAGAGCTGGCTCCAGCACACCTCTGTTCCTTGAAGATCAAGTCATTCTTTTACAGATGAGAAACTGAGGTTCAAAGTGTAAAGTGAATTGCACAGAACACACAGCTACTTGATGGCAGAGTGTGAGAAATTCAAAAGAAACCAAGATTCTTCTAGTCTAGTACATTTTCACTACACTAAGCTGCTTCTCCTCTAGTCACTCTTTCTTCTTCCTTTTGTCAGGGATATGGGGTATCACTTCATGTTGGAATCAAAAGCCATGGGATGGTAAAAGACACCATTAGTAATTGTTCCATCATTAGTGACTGTTCCCCATCACCCACTGACCCAATGTGAATCACCCCACCCTCTACATACCACAGAAGATCTACCCAGACTTTACACTACTCTCTGTAGAATGTTTGCTTTATAGGAAACAAACCTGATTTCATATTAGAAATTTTCTTTTCTCACTCCTTCCAACTTCTTGCAATCACTGAGACCTGGCTCCCTCCTGATGACTCAGGTTCCCAGACCCTTCTTTCCACCAATGGTTGCATTTTCACTCAGACCTTCGACTCACTGGATAGGTAGGTGAGTCAAAATACTCTTTGCTTCCAATTTCCACATCCAGGCTCTTCTCTACCACCATCACTCAGTAACACCCCCTCCTCTGAGTCTCATTCAACCCATTTTTATCTCCCAATCAAGATTCTAGTTGCTATAGTCTACAGACATCCAGAATACTCTCCTTCCTTCCTCAATGTATTCAGTCATAGTCTTTCTCCCCTTCCCAACTGTTTCACTCATACTAGGGAACTTCAGAATACATATCAGTACTCCCTAAAATACCCTTACCTCACAGTTTCTCAACTTACTCATTTCTATGACCTACTTCTCCACCCTATCTCAGCTAAACACAGAGATGGTCATACCTTTGATCTCATCATCAACCATAAATATATACCACTTCCACATTCATGAACTCTGAAATTCCTTTAACTGATCATTCTTCCATCTGCTGTCATTCAACCTCTCCCTCTACCTTGCAACCCCTAACTTGCTTCTTCCTCCTCACTGTGATATGTGGTACCTTTACGCTTCAGTTCTTTCCCAGGCATCACTATCTCCTCCCTTTCTACCCTGACCCTTTGGCAAAATAATGCAACTTTATACTATCCTCTTCTCTTGTGTTCCTTGCCCTTTCATCTTATTGCCAATCCTGCCCTGCCAAAACTCAGCTTATGATTACTCCCACGATCTGTTACCTTCACTACTATTTATGTGTTGCTGAGCAAAGATGGAGAATATTATAAAACCTTTCTAACTTGGTCCACTACAAATTTAAGCTACATGATATTAACTGAGTCATCATGGTTGCAAGACAATCCTTTCATACTACCCTAATCAATTCACTGTACTAATCATCAGATGGTCTTTTTCAACCTTCATATCCTTTAAACCTCCTATGGTTCTCCCTCTCTCCCACCCTTTCAACTGAGTAGCTTGCCTCACATTTCACTAAAAAAAAAAATGAGGCCCTTTGCCTAGATCTCCTTTTTCTTCTCTCCTCTACTATTGCTTACGTGACCATTGTCTCACATGAAGAGCTAGACCTCTGTGACAAGGCAAATCCCTCCACATGCACAAGTGATCCCATCCCATTCTTTCTTCTCCAGAAGACTGCCCCTTCTATTATCCCTACTCTTGAACTAATCTTCAATCTCTCCCTGTCTACTGACTTCTTTTTGGTTGCTCACAAACATACCTCTATCTTCCCCATCCTCAAAATACCTCATTTAATCCATCCATCCATCATACTGTCAATGGTGTCAACATTCTACTAGTCACCAAGACCTCCCCCCATCACTGACCTATGTATGACTCTCTACTACTCCTTTTGTCTCATCTCTCATACTCAATCTGTTGCCATGCCCTATAAATTCTACCTTCACAATATCTCATCTCTTATATACATCCTCTTCTCTCTTCTGACATTTCTCTGGTGCAAACCCTCATCACCTCATCCTTGACTATTACAATAGTTTCCTGCTTGGTTTCTGGGCTTCAGGCCTCTCCCTGCTCCAATCCATCCTCAACTCACCTGTCAACATGATCTTCCTAAAGCACAGGACTGACCCCATCAATCCCCAATTCAAAAAACTCCAGTGACCTCCAAGATCAAATCAAAATCCTCTTTTTGCCTTGTAAAGCCTTTTAAAACTTGGCCTTTTCCTAATATTTCAGTCTCTTATACCTTTCTCCCTTCCACATACCTTGAAATCCAGTGAAACTGGCCTTGCTGTTCCTCAAATGCTATCATATTCATCATCCAATTCTGCATTTTTACTGGCTGCCATGCCTTGAATATTCTTCCTCCTGGCTTCCTGGTTTCCAATGAGCCTAAGCTAAAATCCTAGCTTTTCCTAGTCACCCTTCCCTCTAATTTATCTTATTTGTACATAGTTGTTTGTGTGTTATATCTCCCATTTATTCTGTAAGCTCCTCAATTGACTTTCCTTGTATCCATGGTAGTTAGTACACTTAATAAATGCTTACTGATTTAACTTGGCTTTTTTAATTCACATTTTTTCTCCTGTACCATTTTCAGCCACTAAGTGGTAGTGTTGACTGTTCACGTTCCGTGAAACAAGATTCCAGTTAAAGAATACAAGTATTTGTAATATGAGTTCAGTAGAAAGACTCTACAGAAACAAACATAATTCCTAAATAGGTTACTCCTGGGTGGTATGCTTTGTAAAAAGCAAAAAGGACTCTCCTAGAGTTTTTGCCAAGATGCTAAAACTCATCAAGACGCATCTACGAAGCACTTATTTTGCACCAGGCATCTTGTTAGCTGCTAGGAATATAGATAGAAAAAATGAGCAAACCATTCTCCCAGAAGGCATGGATTGTGGGAAGGGTGGGTCAGATACAAAGATGTTCAAGAACTAGAGAGAAAAAATATGTCTACAATGGCTCTAATGACAGAAAATATCAAATGAAACAAGAAGCACTTAGGAGTCATGATACCTGTCTTCACATGTTTGAAGGGATTAAATTGTTCTGAAAGGACAGTGCAGGGAGGGAGATTTGAATTCAATATGGGGAAAATTAGAACTGTTGTAAAATGTAATAGTAGTTAATTCTAAGACACCAAAAACCTTCCACTGGAGGCTGGATCTTGTGGTCTTTCCTTTCTCCTGCACATAACTCTACTCAGCTGTCACAGGTCTGACCATGACAGTCCTCTATTCAATCAGTTCCAGTGGCTCCCTATCACATCCATGATAAAATATAAAATCCTCCTTTTGGCATTCAAAGCCCTTCATAACCTAGCCCCTTCCTGCCTTTCATGCCCATTTCTTCTTATACCTTACTCATCCTCATGTGCTCTGTGATCCAGTGAAATTGATCCTCTTTCTTTTTCTTGAACAAGACATTCCTACCAACTCTGTCCATTTTTATTGGCTGTCCCACAGGCCTGGAACACAGCTAAAATTCCACATTCTACAAGGTCTTTCCCAATCCTCCTTGATGCTAGTGCCACTATGTTGTGCACAGCTAACTCAGATCACCACAAGAGCAAGGACCCTATACTAACCTTGAAGGGATAAGACCAGCTTAACCTTCTATCTCGAATGCACATTGATGAGGTGGGAGACAAAATGGAAGCAACTCGGTTTAATTTTAACAAAGCATTCACTTAAGTAGTAAAGTAACAGGAACTTCTGCTCAAGTTACAATGACGTAGAGAACATGCTGTGCTAAGGACAGTGCATGCACGTCCTGTGCACTTATATGACTCCAATCACAGATAAACTGCTAATGACCATACAGTAACTAAGGGAGTTAAAGATTGTTAAAGATCCATATAATGGAGCACAGAACCAGGCGACCTTTGCTCATAGATCAGCACTTGAGAGGGGCCTCTGCCCATCAGTAAGACCTCATGAACAGCCTGTGGCCCTCTACATCCTTACAGATCCCCAACAATTCCCCCTTTTTGTTTTTGCTGGAAACGGAGCATATGAAGCTCAGTCCCAAAGTCCTTTATCTGATTAGCTATGCACCTGAGCAAACATGGTCCAAAACACAGCATGGCCAGCAAAATCAAATATAATGGCAATAAAGAAGACAATAGAGATATAAACCAATGCCAAAGGTTATTAAAAGGATTATGGATTTTATCTATCCAATCAAGTATACGTTGGGCAGTTTTATCTGGCATCAAATCCTTATCAGCCGCCCTTGCAATATCTTTAGCAATTTTGTATAAGTCGTCAATATCCACTACAATAGTAGAATTCCCAAACAGCCCATTTAGATGTCTACATATTCTTTGCCAATCCCATTGGGATTTATTGCATTTAACATTGGTAAGGCAAATGAATTCATACCTATAATCACATTTCAAATGTGTTCTATATTCTAAAATATCCAATTCATCACCTATTTCGATAATGGTTTCCTTCATTCCCTCAAGTATATGGTAAAATTCATCATCTATCCTCTTGTGTTTGAAAACCCTTTGATACATTGCGAGCTAATTGACTCATAAAATCAGCTTGAACTATTTCATTTCTTGCGATAGATACAGATTGAGATAAAGATACAGAAGCAGTTATGATAGCTATAAGTGAAACAATTCCTAATACTACACATGAAATACATCTCTTTTTCCTAGCAACTGCTAATTGATTACTTTGGTCTATTATTCCAAAAATACGATCAGAATGTGACTCATAACAATCTTTGCTTTTCACAGGCACCAAGGCAAACTTTTGTTGTGTAATAACAAAAATAATTTGGTCTCTAATCTTGGTTCCTATACATTCAGACACCCTGCAGTTAATACAAGTGACATTGTATTCCCCTGAATGCATGGACATTATATTAACATTCTGTGCTCTTCCCCACATAAATGCATGATTACCAGTCAAACAAGTTCGCATTGTCATATTATAATGGACAGTCCCTTGAAAATTCGTGATGTTTATGGGACCTAAGGCTGCCCACACCTTCCACAATTGATTTTCAACCCCTCTGTCATGAAGGGAAACCCACTGAGGAAATGGAAACCCGCCAAAAGCCCAAGTATGATTGTTTTTCTCCCTGGTATAATTGTTCCAGGATTGTAATGTAAAATTCTTTTGTAACACAACACAATGACGTTCTGAAGTATGATAAGATAACCAAGGAGGATACCTTAAGCTCTTGCTAATTGGTGTCACATGATAGCATGGCTTTGAATTATTTGGACGTCTGATAGGCATGTCATTAACACACTGTGACCCCAAGACGCCCATGTAAGTAACCTTATAAAATTGAAAAAAGACAACAGTATAAGGAGGGGGTGCCATGTTATTAAACACATTCCCATCAAAACGGGTGGTTACATTAAATAATTGTAAACACGTGGAGTTTTTGGTGTCATTGCCTTTTGTAACACAAATAGGCGGCACCAAAGGCACACCAGTAAAGTTCATTTTTACAGTGTGTTGAAACCGGTTCTTAGGTGATATGAAATGAAATACCTTGCGAAAACCTGTGGAGGTATTTCCTTGCAGAATGACCTCAGGTATTGTCTCTCCCCATGTAACTAGTCTGGGTCATGGTGGCTTTGTCATGAAGGCCCATCATGTTGTATTTCCTGTCTCTGCTGCTGCTGTATTCTGTATCCCTGCTGATGATAATGACAAGAGGCACAGCTTAGTTAAAAGTTCTTGTAGTGCCACCTTCTTATTCTTTCAGCTCCTGCAATTCCTGGCTGGCCTGTGTGTTCTTTTCAGCTTGCCTTGTTCCTTCTGAATGGATAATATGGACATCCTTTGTTCTGACCCAAAGTTCTCCACCGCCAGGTTAGCACTTGCCCTGGGCCCTGCCAGACACTGTCACCGTATTTAGTGGTGTCATTAGTACTGTTGTCATTTCCTGCCAGATATTTCATTGCAGGAGAGAGGTTACAACTATCAAATTTTAAATAATTTATAGTGTAGAGTGCAGTGTTCAATTGATGCCAAGGGGATCCCTTAGCTCCCCCTTTTTGTTTTTGGAGCACCATCTTCAATGTACAATTGGCGCGTTCAACTATGGCCTGACCACAAGGATTATAGGGAAGGCCACTAGTGTGACTAATAGAGAACTCAGTACAAAACTTTTTAAAACCCTGTGAAATATATGCAGGACCATTATCAGTCTTTAAGCATTGAGGTGGGCCAGTGAAGGAAAAACAATGAAGCAAATGATTAACAACATTGCAAACAGCCTCACCCTCTTGAGCAGTAGCAAAAATAAAGCCTGAATAAGTATCAATAGAAACATGAACATATTTTTGTCTTCCAAAAGGAGAATAATGAGTAACATCCATTTGCCATAAGGTGTTAGGTGTAAGTCCCTTGGGGTTATGGACATCAACATGGAAAGGGGGTTGAAAGGGCACATAAGTAGCACAGCGTTTAACAATTTCACGTGCTTGTGATTTTGTTATGCCATATAAAGTTCTTAAAGACCTAGCAGATAAAAGTAATTTATTATTACTATTCCTTGCTATTTCCACATTCATTGTTAAAGACGTATCAACAATATCATTACCTTCAAAAAATTGATCCTGGGGCAAGAGTATGGGAACGAACATGCAAAACATAAACTTTTTCTGTCCTATTCTGTATCATAAGTTGTATATCATTAAGCAGCTGACATATATTGTTACCAGTATTTTTTTTACAGCAGTCTCTAGATGTTTTAGAATTCCTTCAACATATTTACTATCTGTGATAATATTCATTGGCTCCTTATATTTTTGAAATGCACAATAGACAGCATATAATTCATTCTGTTGGTGGATATAAAGGGTGTTTCAATCACATGTAACTCCTTTCTTTTAGGGCACCAGATAGATGCCTTATTCATCTTTGTGGCATCAGTAAAGACATTAATCCCGTGTACGGGTTCACCTGCTGTTGTAAGTGTGGGTTGTATCCAAAGCCAATTCTCAAAGATTGTGTGATATTTAAGGGGTTTTCCAAAAACAAGTATCAAATTTACATGTATTTGCCAATTAGGCAACTTTTGTATTGCCTTTTCTATAGCTTTTTGAGGAAATGGAAGGTATATGACTTCTCGATGTGTGCCACACAATGTTAAACATCTCTTATCAATTTTATGTATTAAGTCCCCTATTAGGACCATATAATTACTTAAAGTATTTTTTGGCTGAGATGGTAAATATACCCATTCTAAAAGACTTTGTTTCTGATGCATTACTGCTGTTGGAGAATTTGGGGTGTTAAATATGGAAGCTTCCAGGCTTTCATGCCTATCAATCCTGTTTGTGTGTACTCCGTCTACTTGTTCCTGAATATACAACAATGTTTGCTTTGCCTCAGGGGTCAGTATCCGGGGTGAATCTAATTGAGGATCACCCTTAAGGCAATCATACAAGGGTACAAATTCATAATTTGGAATGCCTATCTGTGACCGAAGCCACTGTATATCTCCCATAAGTTTCTGAAAATCATTAAGTGTTTTCAACTTTTGTAGGTCTATTTTTGGAGGATGTAGAACTATTTTTTCTTGAAGTATCTGGTGGCCTAAATATTGATATGGGGGATGTTTTTGAATTTTTTCTGGGTCTATTCGAAGCCTATGACTTTGCAACAAATTTCTTATTTTTAACAAGATTTCTTCCAACACTTCAGGATTGGGATGAACACATAAAATGTCATCCATGTAATGTATCATTTTTAGCTTTTTGTAATGGAATAGTAAAAAAGCAATCTTTTAAATCAACAACTATCAAAGGCTAGGAAGTCATAAAACATTGTTAATTTTCCTGACTTCCTTGCAATAACAAAAACAGGTGAATTTTAAGGAACCCAAACAAGTTCATTAGATTTCATTTTGTATTTTGTCAGTTTTATGGATAGAAAAAGCACAAACAGTGGGAGGGAGAAAATAACAGCTCTCAGTAAATGCGAAATATCGCACCCACAAATTAAGGGGAAATGAATTGAGTTTTAGCTATCTGTTATCCTAGTAGTTTAACTTCATCTTAAAATAATCGATTAGTGGTGATTTATTAGGCAAGCTAAAAGTAATTAATATCCATAAAAAGTCATATGAAACTTATTAAAAATTATCAAGGAATCTTGATTAATTTGTAACATTTTGGTGGTGTACCTGCAGACTGCAGAACAATACACCCAAAGTAAGCAAAGGGTGACACCCTCTGTACCCTTTCAGAGGTAATTATAAATCTATGAGACTGAAAACTTGTTGACTGAAAAGCTTGTTAAAACTTGGGCATTAATAAGGAGAGTTTGGTAGTAGTAGGACAACTGCAAAGTTTATCATCTATACAATAAATCATTCCTGTCTGGGAATATTTCTGACCAACAAGTCCAACAGGAACTTCTTCTCAAGTTATAATGACGTAAAGATCATGCTGTGCTGACAGTGCATGCACATCCTGTGCACTTATCTGACTCCAATCACAGATAAACTGCTAATGACCATACAGTAACTAAGGGAGTTAAAGATTGTTAAAGACCCATATAATGGAGCACAGAACCAGGCGACCTTTGCTCATAGGTCAACACTCGAGAGGGGCCTCCACCCATCAGTGGACCTCATGAACAGCCTGTGGCCCTCTACATCCTTACAGATCCCCAACACCACTATACAGAGCAGATATAGATATGTATTATATGTATACATGTATGCAGTATGTGTGTGTGTATATATATTAGATTGTAAACTCCTTGAGAGCTGGGATAGTCTTTTGCCTCTCTTTGTACCCTTAGTTCTTAGCACAGTGCCTGGCACATAACGGGTGCTTAATAATTGCTTCTTGACTGTGGAATTTTTCTGGGATGTTGTAAATAGGATTAATTTAAGTAGGGGTTAGACTCCATGACTTCTTTGTTTCATCTTTCTGATAGTTCCTTGTATTGGTTTTAATTTTTACTTACAACTCCACTAATGTGAAAATATGTTTAATGGGTATGTAAATGTAAAGCCTATATCAGCTTGTATGCAGTCTTGGGGAGGATGGGGGGGAGGAAAAGGGAGAAAAATTTTCAACTCAAAAGCATATGGAAAAAAATTTAAAAATTAGAAAAAAAAAGACTCCATGACTTCTGAGGCCCTTTGCAATTTTAAGATTATATAATGAAACCTCCTTGTTAACTATTCAATGACTTGTGAATGACTCATTTTGTCCTGACATAAAACCTAAAGGCTGCTGGCATTAGGCCCACCTCTAATATTTGGGTTTTCAGAAATTTGGATGGGCTGAGATGGCTTCATGGCTCACGTCATGGTTCAGTTGGGGAGTGTAGCTGATCAAATGGCAGCTCACCATATGGCTTCCAGTTGCAAGGGCCCTTTTCATTGTATTTGGGGAATCTTTTCTATGGGGTGGGGAGGAGGCCCCTGATCAGGCAGAGCAAATAAACTCAGTAAGTTTTAGAGCAGGCTATGTGGGAGAATCAGGAGAATGCCAAGTCCTACATCCCCTAGCTGTTGTTAAATGTCCTTTAGAAGCTGGACTGCCAGTATAAAAAGACAGCATGAGCTTGCCTGGTGGGAATTCTCACTGGTGGTAACAAAGCTCTGGGCTTATCCTATCACTGCTCCCAGAAGAGTGACTTTCTGATCGAAGGGAGCAGGGGATATGTGGGCAGCAGACCTTCTTCACCAAGAAGCTAGTGTGGTTGTAGAAGAAGCTACAGAACAGAAACTTTATGAGTCACTGGAGCAATGGTTCCTGTTGTCTAATAGAGCCAGTGCTGAGCTGAATTGCTCAGCTGACTTCAACAGGCTGGGAAAGCTCTCTGAGGACTTAACTTTTACAGCATCAACTAACTTTTTTTAGAGACTTTAGATGTGGAATGTTCTTTGTCACTTTTTAGGTGTCTGAGATGGAGAGTTATTAGCACCAAGTCTCAGAAAGATGAATTCCTATTGCAACCAGCTTCCCACTGGGGATTTGCAAGGGAAAGAAGAGATGAGGTTCCTAAAAGAAATGGGCTTGATAAATTGGATTTATGTGCCCTCCTCCATGGCCTGCCATATTCTATGCCCATACCGATTCAAGGGCAATTAGATCCTGCCTTCTGGGTGGGCCTCCACCAGAATGGCTTCAGACTTTAGCTATGGGTCTCCCCAACCACACAACACACAGGTGTGAGCTGATTGATAAAGTTTGAGCAGGAAGTTTGGACAGTTGGGCAAATACTGCTAACAGTGTGAATAGGCATTCTGGAAATAGAGGAAGGAGCCAGAGAGCTCAATGCCCTGCTAGATAGGCAGAGGGCAATGACAACTTCTCCTTGAAAGAACTCTTTTTACTGTACTACACTTGCTAAAAAAGGTAGAAGTCTTTTAAAGAAAAAAGATGCATTTTGATCTAGTCTATATACCTGCACTGATTAACATGTTCATGCATTGTGCTAGTAATTCAGTTTCTAAAATTCAGAATCACACTGTGTGTACAAAAATTACAAATTGATGAATATTCTCCAATGCTTTTTCAGATAATATCACACAACATCCCAGCTATGAGGCCAATTCAGGAATATATCAGGGGAAAAAAAGTAAAATCTTTATCTGTAAAATAAAGGGATGGAACAATTCTGTGGAACAACAAACTCTAAAATTTCTATGATTCCAAATGTTTCAATT